TTCAGAGTTTCCATGAAGTCAGTTGTAATTCTGATAGGTTTGCCTTTATATGTTACTTGATCTTTTTCCTTAGCTTCTCTTAATATTCTTTCTTTATTCTGTATGTTTGGGGTCTTGATTATTATATGGTGAGGGGACTTTTTTGTGGTCCACTCTATTTGGTGTTCTGTAAGCTTCTTGTACCTTCATTGGCATGTCTTTCTTTAGGTAGGGAAAGTTTTTTCTTTGATTTTGTTGAATATGTTTTCTGTCCCTTTGAGGTGGTTTTCTTCACCTTCTTCTATACCTATTATTCTTAGGTTTGCGCTTTTCATGGTGTCCCATATTTCCTAGATATTTTGTGTTAGGCGTATGTTGGACTTAAGATTTTCTTTGGTCGATGAATCTATTTCTACTAGTGTATCTTCAATCCCTGAGATTCTGTGTTCTGTCTCTTGTATTCTGTTGGTTATGTTTGCATCTGTAGTACCTGGCCATTTGCCCAGCTTTTCTATTTCCAGCCTTCCTTCAGACTGTGTTTTATTTGTCTCTATTTCAGTTTTTAACCCTTGCACTCTTTGAATTGTTTCTTGCAATTTTTGCTTTGTCTTTTCCTCTATTTCTTCCTTTTTTGGTTTGTTTTTTTCTTCCATTTCTTTAAGGGATTTTCCCATATCCTCTTTGAGGGCCTCTATCATTTTCATGAAGTTATTTTTAAGGTCATTCTCTTCTTCTTCATTTGCATTGAAATGGTCGAGTCTGGCTGGTGTAGAGTCTCTAGAATCTGGTGGTGTCACATTTATTTTTCTGCTGTTAAGTGTGTTTTTGTATTGTCTCCTTCCATCCCTTCTTCTAGTGGGTGCAGAAAGATCCTTTTCCTGAACTGGTGGTTAGGGGACCAGAGTTCCCTTTTGGTGGGTGCAAGCAAGTCCAATACTTGGTAGTTCTCCTCTTCCTGGTCCTACTCCTGGTTCTGTGGGTGGAGAAGAAGACCAGGAATCTGGGGTGCATAGGCTCCCTCCAGGAAGGGAGGTTCAGTGGTGGTCCCCAGGCACCACAAATTTTAAGATTCTTTTTCCATACTAGTCTAAATAAATGGCATGAGTCTACATAGTTAATGATGTCTGTAAAACACTCTAGAAAGTGTTTTGTGCAAGTGGATTTCACATACACAGAACAACCAGATATGCAGAGTATCCATCTTCAGGGCTGTCCACCACTGTATGACACAGGAAGACAACACTTACTCTAAACATTGCAAATGTTTGCATAGCTTGTTCTCAATCTAACAATACAATGACAAGTTTTCAGTCATGGAAAGTAAGGGGTGCTCAGGGAGTCACCTTCTGCATCTTGCACAATGGTGCTTGGTTAGTCTTTGGTCTTTAGAACTGTAAGTTAAAATAGGTTGTGGCTAGTAAGGACAGTTCAAAATGCTGAATTTCTTCCTTTAAAATATTTGTTCCTTGGAAACCTCTGACTTCCTGTGTTTTTCATTAAAATATCCAAACTTTAGGCCCCATATTTTCTAACAGTACTTTCAATGGTTTCTCTAGAACTAATAACCCATTATCTATGACTATAAAAAATTCTGATTTGAATATTGTCAAATCATGGCACTGGCCATCTCTGTTAAGGCACTGACATGCTGCCATATGCATTCAGATACTGGGGCCACAGAGAAGATTGACAGTAACTGCTATGCTTGTTCCGCACTGATATTCCTGATTGGAAGAAACAAAAGAAGGCAAGAAAGGTGTGTGTACAGGATCCTAAGACTCTTGCCATCCATGTGGACCACTTGTCACCACTGAAGAACTTTTTACTGATGATATTTCTCCCCATAAATTGCACTTCTAATTCTTGATGCCAGCTGCACATTGCCCCTTCTCTTGTGCCTAAATTGGCATGTGTCTTAGAAATGACTCCATACCACTACAGAAAACAGACTTTGAATTGCAATTTAGTGATAAAAATGTTTGCACTAAATGAATTTATTTGATGGGGGTGGTGAGTGCTAGTACCATTTCCCATGGAAGTGATGAGCAAAATGGACATGTTGCTGTGGCATAGACACCAGAAACAGAGAATCAACAACTTGAGGTGATTTTCTTGTCTAACTTTTACTCTAGGCATTTCCTGGGGGTAAAGTGACCTCATCTAGTTCATCTTCCTATAGAATAACCACTCTTCAGAGAAAGGTCTCCAGGTATCTGAGTTGTCAGGATTTCCAGGATGAAGTTGCTTTTAAACAGATGACTGTATCTTTCCCCAATGACTGTGGACAATTGCACCTATAATTTCTTACGTAAAAAAATGTTTGTGAATATCATTGCTTATTTGTTGTATTTGATTTTGATATTTCCTCAAATAAATCAGGAAAAGGTTGAGGTTGAAGATTTTATGGTTGTTTCAGTTGGTGGGGAGTTGTTGTTTGTTTGTTTGTTTGTTTTGAGACAGGACCTCGCTATGGGAACCAGGTTGCCTCAAAAGTATGATCCTCCTGCCTCCGCCTTCCAAGCACAGGGGTTATGGGGCTGTGTCACCACACCATTTGAGCTTATTTGTTTTTATACTAAATAAGACAAAGGTATACATTTATTTTTCCCATGAAACGAATATCTCTGGCTTACGGAAAATATTTTCTAAGGTGGAAACACTAGTTATTGAACATGGTCCAAGGATTCCAATAGATTGAGAAATGGTCCACTGTGCTTGTCTCTGTGTGAGCAAAACCTAGCTGAAAAAAAAATCTAGATAAAATTTTGAAATTTTGCTTTGTGTTTGTTATTTGCAAACTACCTTGTCTTTTATTGTTCTCTAGTGTTTCTTATTTATAATGCAAAATCAAAGCACAGTCTAATTTAGAAAAAGAAGAGGCCACCCCTGAGACACAAGTGTGTATCACGTGATGCACAATCTCCGTTTCAGGAATCCGCTCTGCTCTTCACAACCCAGGTGGCACTGGGAAAGCTCAGGACTGGTAAGAATTAGCTGAAACCAGTGCTTTTCATTTCAGCTGCATTAGTCAGTCACCTGGAGAGCCTGTTAAAGTGCAGATTGCCCGGGCTTCCTTCCAGAATTTGATTCACAAGACTCTGTATATAACTGCTGTGCTTCCCAGACAGCACAGGTGTGACTGGGAGAGCCTTCGCCTTGAGAACCACAGCTCTGAGGCAATTGTGTTCTTCACAGAGCTGAAAACAAGTTCAGGAAGAGCAGTTTAAACCCACTGAAATGTAGACCTTTCCTCATGGTGGTTGATGGTCAGGCCTCATTCCTAGTCTGTCTAAGAGTATTATCACGCCATGACAAGGAGAAGTTAGCTGCGCTGCACATGTCTGCAGCTCCCACCGTTCCTGGAGGCCATGTGTGAGAGGCATGCGGCTTTCAAGTAGTGACAGTGACAGCAGCTTGAGAAGAGCCTGACACCACAACCGCACCTGGTCCCCATTGTGTGAGACAGTCAGCACACTTGTGTAAGTACATTGGGCCTGGGGTTTCCTCTCTAGTCCTTTAAGGTGGTGTACTTACCTCAATGTTATCAGTCGATGTAGGCCTAAAGGAAAAATATATAGAGAGGCAGTTTGCAGGGATTTATGGAACAGTTCCGGGATCCGCTTTCAGGAATGTACTGTGTCCAAAACTCTTGGATCAGGTTTCACTTACTGTTATTTCAAATAAATGGAAGGCTAAAGATTGTTTTTCTCACTTTCTAAGGGGGTGATGCTTGAACTCTAGCATAGAGAGGTAGTAATGAGAAATAAAAGTGCAAAGAAAAGAGAATGGGAATTCCAAAATGTGTGATGGGGTGTGGACTGGGTGGTGGCTTGAACTTGGCTTCCCCTGAGAAAGCTCAGAAAGCTTCTGCTATGTGGCAAACTATTCTGTTGCTAATGGAGGACGGGAGCAGATCTTTCATGTAGCCAAACTCATTAGAGGTGGTTAGAATGGTCCAGTTGGAGTGTTTCCTGGGCATAAAGTAGGTGCCAGGCTTGCACACTGAGCAGAAGTTCACGATTGGAGAGAGAAAAGATTTGAAAGGGTCTTCTGGATGTGGGAGCACATGGGTGACAGAGGACCCTGTGGATCTTCCAAGGATTAATTTGATGCCATAGCATCCTGAGAGGAAGGAGGAAGAGGGAAAAGTCTGGAAGTCATCCTTGACACCTCCATCTAGACCAGTGGTTCTCAACCTTCCTAATGCTTTGGCCCTTTCAGACAGTTCCTCATGTGTTAGTGACCGCCAACCATAAAAATATTTTTGTTGCTGTGTCATAACTAATGTTGTTCCTGTTACGAATGATGATGTAAATATTGTGCTTTCCGGTGGTATTAGGCAACCCCTGTGAAATGGTCTTTGGACTCCTAAAGGAGCCGTGACCCATAGGTTGAGAACCCCTGATCTAGTGCTGCGTGTGATCTTATACTGGTTTATCCTGCCTCCATCCCCACTACCGCTCCGTGCCAACATCCCTTGGCTTCCGGGCATCTGTGGTTGGGTTCGTTATTTTTCTGTTGCTGAGATAGAATTTAATTACAAAATGCAACATAGAGAAGAAGGGAGTTGTTTTGGATTACAAGCCCCGAGGGATGCCATCATGGCAAGAAGGGCCTGAGTAATGATCCACACAAGACAAGTTATTGACAATCATGCTGACTAAGCCAGTTAAGCTGTAAGTCCTTCTTGTTGGTGGCCAGACCAAGAGCGAGCTTGTGCCTCTGAAAATACTCTTGGGGCCCAAGTTCAGGGATGCAGAGTTTTTAAAGGCAAACATTACAAAGATCATAATTTGCATCAAAGTTAGATGAGGACCAAAGCAACCTGGAAACATTCATTCCCAGCAGGGTATAGTAGTTATTTTAGATGTAACATGCCAATTCTTTGGATTAATACATAGTCAAGAGCATGGAAACCTCAAACGTGTTGCCAAGGCAAATGGGACCTTTGGGAGAGGAAAGTAGAGAGCTGAGAACTGTCCAAGCAAACACACAATGGCATCAGAATAGGATGGCGTTACCTTAGTCACTTCAGCAGGAATTAGTGAGGCTGACCTGGGAGCAGTCAGGAGGCAGAGTGCTCATATTTCATCTTTCCACCGGAAGAAGAGAATGGGAAGTAGATTAGGGTTATAAAACCTCAAAGCCCATGTACTTCCTCCAGCAAGGCTCCACCTCCCAGAAGTTCCAATACCTTCTTAAACACCACCACCAACTGGGTCCCAAGCACTCAAATGTGTGAGCCTATGGTTGACATTACCTGTTCAAACCACAGCAGCTATCTGCTGCATTCTCACTTTCAGAGGGGCATTTTCCATGTAAATCTATATTCAGGTCCCCTATGCTTAGAAGGACTCAGAGGATTTCCATGCTTCTCCAGGCAATGATAAAGGGCTCTGTGGAGTATCCCTTTACAGCATGTGAATATATGTCACTGTGATTGGTCTACTAAAGAAGCTGAATGTCCAATAGTTGGACAGGATAAGGTGAGAATTCTGGGAAGAAGAATGGTGGAGTCAGGAGGCTTGAAAAGATGTAGAGAAAAGCAAGATGGACATGCTGTACTGAAAAAAGGCACCAAGCCAAGTGGCAAAACAGATAAAAAAATATGGGTTATTTTTAATTGTAAGAGCTAGTTAGTAATAAGCCTGAGCTATTGCCTGGGCATTTATAATTAATATTGAATTTCTGTGTCAGTTATTTGAAACTGGTGGGCAGTAAAGAAAAGTCTGCCTACAGGGCTCTGTAGGCCCTCATAAACTTCTGTCTTGTGCTCAGAATTCTTAAACTGTTAACTCTAACTTTAACTTACTTCAAACATGAGCCCTAAATACCAAGCAATGACAATGACAGACTTTACCAATGACCTTCTTTGAGCCTGGGATGTTTTAATTTTTTCAAATTTACTTTTGTTTTATAAGACAAGGTTTCTCTGTAGCTTTGGAGCCTGTCTTGGAACTCACTCTGTAGACCAGGTTGGCCTCTAACTCAGAGAGATCTGCCTGCCTCTGCCTCCCGAGTGCTGGGAATTAAAGGAGAGTGCCAACACTGCCTGGCTTAAATTTACTTCTGTGTATGTGTATGTGTGTGTGTATGTGTATGCGTGTGTGTGTATGTGTATGTATATGTGTCTGCTTGCCTGTGTGTGCACCATGTACATGCATGTGCGTGCCTATGGAGACAAGAAGAGGGTGTACTGGATTTGAAGTTGCAGGTGGGAACCAAATCTCCATCCTGTCCAAAAGTAGAAAGTACTCTTAACTACTGAGATATTGCTCTGTCCTGAGCCTGGTATACTTTTGTTTGAAGGGTTATTCGTTATTAATTCAGTTTAATCTAAATTAAAGAGATTAATCTTTTTCTTAGCAGGTTTCACAAGCCACTGCCCTGCCAAGCATGCTGATTTGTGACTCCCTCTATTCACCTGCTGTGCACAGGGATCTTAAATGGTCCCATCAAGAGATTATTTCTGAGTTAGCACTCAGTTTTGAGACTGTTTCTATGGGGTGTTCTTCCAGAGAACAAACAAGAGAGATAATCTGCTTTCCCCCCCTTCCTTCCTTTTTCCCTTCTTTTCTTCCCTCCATCCCTATCTGTCTGTCTATCTATCATCATCTTTCGCTTACTTATTTACTTACAGTATTGGTGATAAAAAGTCTATCACGTGACATAATGCCAACAATTCAGAAATCACTTGTACATAAAAACAGTGACAAAGCAGGGAATGGTTAGTGATACATTTTTCTAAAAATATCTCTTGACCCCAAACAGATTGACATGTTTTTTTATTTTATGTATGTTTTAATTTAAATTAGAAACATGCATGCTTCAAATGTCAATCCTGGCTCCTCCCTTCTCCCTCCATGAGTCCCCCCACCCCCACCCCCAGCCCAATCCCCACATCTTTCCCCAGGGAGGGTGAGGCCCTCCTTGGGGGGATCTCCAGAGTCTGTCATTGCATCCAGGGCAGGACCTAGGCCCTTCCCCATGTGTCCAGGCTGAGAGAGCATCCCTCCATGTGGAATGGGCTCCCAAAGTTCATTTGTATGCCATGGTGAACACTAGTCTACTACCCAAAGCCCCAGAGATTTCTGAGGCCTCCTCACTGACACTACATTCATGGAGTCTGGATCAGTCCCCTTTGGGCCTCTTAGTCATCAGTCTGGGGTTCAAGAGCTCCTCCTTGCCCAGTCAGCTGTCTTTGTGGGTTTCACCAGCACGGTCTTGACCGCCTTGCTCATCACTCTTCCATCTCTGTTACTGGGTTCCAGGGGGGTCAGTTCAGCATTTCGCTGTGAGTATCTGTCTCTGCTTCCTTCAGTCACAGGATGAAGGTTCTAGGATGTCACATAAGGTAGTCACCAACCTTATCATCAGGTAGGGGCTATTAATGTAGTCTCTCTGCTATTACTTAGTTTTCCAGTTGGTGTTATCCTTGTATATCTCTGGGAATCTCACTAGTGTCAGCTCTCTCCTCAAAGCTATAATGACTCCAACTATTATGGTATCTCTCATCCTGGTCTCCTCTATTCTTACCCCAACTCAGCCTTCCTGCTCCTCCATGTCTTCTTCTACCCTCCTTTTATCCCCCTCTCTTTTTCTTGGTTCCCTCCCCTCTCCCCCAATGTTCCCAATCTGCTCAGGAGATCTTGCCTCTTTCCACTTCTCTGGGGTATATTGCATATCTCTTGGGAACCTCCCTGTTTCCCAGACTCAGTGGCCCTGGGACTGTAGGCTGACACTCCCTGATTGACATGTTTTTGGACGTTGTAGCAAAGTTAATAATATTCGTTGGTTTAATGTAAGACCATGTATATGACCTGCTATCCTACTGTGTATTCTGGCCTGTTTAGTTTTAAATTGTCTTAAAAAAACCAACAAGAGTGTAACCTACCTTATTATACCTTAGATTTCCCATGCAAAATCACCTTTTATAACCTGAGCTAACTGCATAATTTTAATCTTAAAAATAAAAAAATGTAGTTGCAATTGAGAAAAAAGAATTCTCATGGTCAGTTATGTAAGAAAATGTTCTCCAAAATTTTACAGTTTACTTAGAAAGTTGATTCATTCATGAAATCAGTATGAATTCCTAGTCTCTGAAATCTCGATTTATTAAGTGTCTGCATTAAGCAACAAAATGTCTAACACTAATGATTAAACAGCAGCTTTCTAGATGACTGTGCTGAGCCTGCAGGGTCAATGTATCCATGGGCTCAGAACATAATTCACAAGTATTGTCTCTTTGGTGACACCCATTCTCCAGCTGCTTTCCTATGCTCTGTGCTGACAGTGGAATTGGGTGGTGGGGGAATTCAACTCTTTCAATAGGAGAAAGCCCTGGGTGATAACAAAAATGAAACAAAGAACAACAATGACAAACAAAGAGGGAGGAATTAAAAGGGCATTTTATAAATTTGCCAAGGTTGCCCCAATTTTAGATTGTTAGTAGATGCATATATAAGCTCTCCATATACTTAAACTCTGTGATGGTTTAATTTGCGAAACCAAACTTTGGCTTTGTGTAATGGCATTGCGGATGCTCTTTAACCAAGGACTTTTCATTTTGCCAGGGTCCTGGAGCTCCTTGGATGATGAGACTGGCAAAGTTGTCAGTGACTGAAGCAATTTCTCTATGGAATGAGAAATTAGGGAGGGGAAAATCATGTAGGGAAATAGCATGATCATTGGGACACCCAGAGCTTTTATTTTGTAGATTCTAGGAAGCTGTTTTTTCTTGATAAGCGGCAGAACATCCTTACCCAAGAAAATTTGAGTTTTAAACATTCTTGGGAACACTTTTCAGCAATGCCACTAGGGGGCAGTGGTGTCCCCTGCAAGGACAACGACTGAAATTAGGAAATGCATTGTCCTGATTTTGGACTTCAGTGAGTATGCCTGGGGAACATTAATGTAGCATGACTGCCCACAGACATTAGGGCATAGTTGGAATCAAGTTCGTGCAGAAGAAAGGATGGTTAAATAGCAAGTTTACAGCAGAGTGACCACTTGGAAATCACCTCTTGCCCTTGGTCAAATTGAATAGCAATTTGAGCAGTGGGTTGACTCGAAAGTTCATAATTCTTGATGTTTCTGTTCAGCTGCCTCAAGAGGTAGAAAGACTTTGCTTTGACAGAAGGCACCTGTCCCAGGAAACCACAGAGGCAAGATTTCCAGAATGGGTGACAAGGGGCAGAGAGTAACGTGAAGAACTCAGAGTTTTAATGAGTTCTTGTCTTTCATTTTACCCTAGCTTGTCAGGAGAGATTTGACTGCAAGTGTAGTGAAATTGTTTCTGCTGCTGGAGTCTGGTTCCCATGGCCCTTAGTGAGACTGGAGAAGTCGGAGATTTGGTGGAAGGGGGCATGGTGACAGAGCAGGTGACCGTAGCTCTCTGTTACCTGTCTTTTATCTTTATTCATGCTCTGCCACCAATTCTGTGGGATTTTCATTAAGTCACTTTGAACTCCCAAGTAAATATCCTGAGCTATCTGGACAACTTTCTCCTCTGTGTCCCTACGCACAATTCTTAGGAAGGAATTAAGTAAGACATGCCTTGGTCTTCTAGCTGGCAAGGGCTGTGATGTATCCAAGAATGAAGCTCAGCTAGCTGTGCCAACCATTACTCAAATTTTTAGGATTAAACATATTGGAGAGAAAGAGGGAGCTAAAATGAGACCTGGGTGCATCTCATTTTTTTTTCTCTATCAAAAATGCTTAAACTACTTAGAGGATTTTTAGGAATAGCAGGGATTCTGCAATCTCTGGATTTCAAGATATGTGGAAATTGCCTGGGCCCCATATCATCCCCTCAAAGAGAGGAGGAAAAACATAAACTCTGACTGGGAGGCCAGAGGAACCTGGGCCTTCGAAGACATTAAGCAATTACTCCTCACAGCTCCAACTCAAGTCTTTCACCTGGTAAAGACTTCAATCTCTACACAACCAAATGAAAAAACATGGCATTGAGAGTGCTCAGGACCCACTCAGCAACACATAGGCTACTATGGTCTGAGAGCTAGACCTTGTAGTGAACAAGCAGTCAGCATGCCCAGAACTACTGTAGATTCCAGAGGTGACTAAAGTAAGCCT